TCCAGCTGAGGGAGGACTGGGACACCTTTCCCTCCTCTGCTCCACCCTGGCCCCACATCTGCCAGGAGCAGGGGTCCGGGAGCTCCCTGCCCAGAGTCCACTTGAAAGCCAGGCTCTTCTGGATGAAAAGGAACTTCAGGTAGGGGAGGGGGATTTGCAGCCAAGTACAACAAGGGATCACCGACTCCCTTCCAGCACTGGTGCCCCTGGATTTGCTGGGCAGCATTCCATGTCCAGCTTTCCCCTGGTAACTGGCCAATTCTCAAGGTGGACTTGAATGTGAGTCCTGCATCTTCTCCTTTCATCTGTGCACATGGCTTGGGATATTTCCCTTCGGTTCATCAAGGTCTCCTTCAGCCAAGTACAGCTGGGCAGGGGATTGTGGAAGCTGGCAGAGGTCCTGGCTTCATGCCTTGCTGTCACCTCTGTCATGGGAGAGAACAGCAGGGCTTTGGTTACACAGAGTTTTGGAGAAGGAAGTGTCACGGGCCCTGACTTGGGGCCGTGCATGCAGCCATTGCACAACGAGGGAATGTGAAGTTAACCGTAAAGGCAAATATTGCAAACATTTTGACTTGTGTTTCCTTCCCCTGGGACTCCAGACTGTCATTGGGCATGTGGCTGGAGGCCTGGTGGACTATCCAGTGAGAAAGCCAGAGACTGTCCCCAAACCCCCACAGGCCCCCATGCCACCCCTGCCACCCACAGTGGGCACCAGCTTCTCCCACTGGGCCTCTTGATGTCCTTTTTCAGCTGAGACACTGCTGGGGTGGGTCGCAGGAATTGAGGATCAGACCTGTCCTGGAGAGCAGCACTGTGCAATTGCTGCATCAGTGGGCAACCTGCTCTGCAGCTGCTGGTGACTTTGTGCTCCCACCAGCAGAAACTCTTCATTTTTGTGTGCTGGCAGATTCTCAAGGTATACCCTGAGCCACATGAATTGCTGATGGAAATTGCAGTCCCCAAAGCACCAGTGGTGACCTGAAAGAAAAATCACAGAGTGATGGTGATCCACCCAGATGATGGTGATCCACCCAAGTGATGTCCCTCTGCCTTCTGAACAGCACATGTATGAAGGAACAGCCCATGCAGAAACTCCTTCCATAGTTCCCCCTCACCACAGGGCAGTTTCCTCACAGATAGGACCTGCACCCAACGTGGCATGGCTGGGCTGCAGCCTGGCCAGAGGCTGGAGGAGCCACCTCAGCCCTGACCTCTTTGTTTGACCACAGGACACCTTGAGGAGACAGGGTCTGCACCACAGGGGGGTTAGAGTTTGGGACGGAGACCTGGGGAGAAGTTCAGCAGTGACTCCCTCTCCTGTGGCACTGTGCTGGGCTGGTTTGTGTCCCACAGGTGTGCTGGGAGAGGGGGTTCCTCCCTAGGCTGCTGAAAACTGACTTCACCTGCCCCAGGATCCCACTGAGTGTCTCTCTATACCCAACAGCAGTTGGTGTTATCCCTGTAAATGTTGCATCCTGCCTGCATTCTCGAGAAGAAGGAAGGCACGTGTATTTTCCATGGAACATTGTTTTTTGGACTCTTTTGTGGCTGCTGGGAAGGGTGTGTGTGTACTTTGCATTCTTGTGCTCAGCTTCAATAAAGTCCAGCCCTCTCTGCAGCCACAGCAGGTGTTCAAGCCTCTGGGGAGGGCAGGTGTGGTGAAACCCCAGGGCTCAGGACAGTCCTCAGGTGGGAGGGCTGCAGTCCCCTCTGTCCACCCCCAGCTCAGGGGGTGCAGAGCTCTGCCAGCAATGCTGTGTCAGACCCAAATACGTCAGACTCTGCAGGGCCTGGGCCCAAAGCTGTGGGGTATCCTGTTCATGCTGGGCACCCATCACACCCTCACCCGCCCTGGGCTTTACTGGGGCTTTGTTCTGGGAGCACTTAGGGATCTGGGGGGGAAATTACCTAGCAATGCCCATGAACTCTGCATGAACCACATGAACCACTTCTGCTAATTTAAGGCTCTGAAGCCACCCATTTCTCCTGGGATGAGAGGGGACAGCTCCTGGGACAGCTGCAGCGTCACTGACTATGAGACTGTCCTGCCCTGGTCCAGCACAGATCCACCCTGAAGCACACCTGGAACATCAGCATCAGATTTTTCTGTCATCTTTGATGTTCCTTTTCCTTTCTCCTCTATTTATTTCCCTGCTTTCTTTTATCTGTTGCCTCTCAAGCCTCCTTTAAACTGTGGAGATCTTTCTTGGATGCACAGCCAGCTCCCTCTTGCCTCTGGGCCACAGGCAGTTTTCTCAGAGCAGACGGTGCCCCACAAACCCACACTCTCTTTCATTTGTTTTGCAATTTGTGATGTTTCTGTATGTAATTAACTCGTTGGGAGGTAATTGCTCACCTCTCACTGTCCTTGGACTCATTCTGCTCCATATGATGGTGCAGAGCTGTCCTGAACCAACCCTGGGACACTTCCCCAGAGCTGGTGGGCACCACCCCCAGGGTGAGGGGTGAGCTGCTGGGCTGGCTGGATGCTGCTGGCCTCAGGGTCAGGCTGGTGCAGGGGTCACACTTCACAGCCAGCAAAAGGGAACTGTCCCTGCTCCATCCTTTCCTTGGCTTTCCTCATTCCTGCAGCTCGGGCATATAAAAGCAGCTGCCAGCAGCTGTGACATGGGCAGCTCCACCTCGACATCCAAGGGTCCAGGTAAGTGGCACTGAAGGACCTTGGCCACCGTGCCAGCTCCATCAGGCGACCTACAGCACAGCATAACCCAGCTTGAAAAGCAGGAATTTTAATGATGCTTTCCTTTGATTTCTGTAGCAGCATTTAATCATTTATGAAAATTAATTTTTAAAGCTAGCAGAGCTCTCGCTTGTTAAATTCCACGTTTATTCCTGTTGTTGTTAAGTTTGTGATAATGACTAAGCTGGCAGAAAGGACTGGGAGTTTTTTCATGATCTTGGTGACCAGAATTCAGAGCAATTTTCAGCTCTCCAGACCTCATCTCAGCTGGTGTAAAATAAGTGTTTATCTGCAAAGCCAGACGTGCCTTTTGCATGTGCAAGATGCTCGGCTCAGTGAAATGTGTGTGACCGAGGAGCAGCACCCTGGTAGATATTGTTAATAACTGCAGAGATAGGTGCCTGCATGGTCACGTATTCTCTCTAAGAGCTCTTCTAAGAGTCCTGACTTCCATTTTGGTACCCTTTTGCAATGCTGCACACGTCTTTCAGAGCCCCTCCAACAAATCCCACTGATTTTATTTGACGCGATTTTCAATAGAAGCTGCTCGAGCCTCTCTCCTTCTCCCCTGTTCAATAATCACAGCTACAGGAGCTGTGCATCATTACGTGCTGATCAAAGGGAAAATGTAAAAGACAGTCGAGTGAATTAAAGTCTAATTTAATTGTGCCGAGAACTGTCATAGAGGGATTTTTTTAAAGTATCTGGAAGACATAAAGAAGTTGTTCAGTCTGACCTAAATATTTCTCAGTGCTGAACCTCTGCAATCTGCACCTTGTACATTGTTTTTCTCAGAAAGGACAAGCTGAGGTGTCTGTCCATGACACGGCTGTCCAGGAAAGTGGCCCTGGAGCTGGGACCCCTGGCAGTGCTGCAGAGAGACAATTTTCTCATTTCTTTGCAAACACCTTTCTGTGCATAAACAAATACTCCCCAGCCTGCGTTGTCACCCTGAGAAGCCCAGCTTGGGCAGGAACAGAAGGTCCTTGAAGGTACTTTCTTTTGGCTGGGGGCAGATCAAACACAGGGAAAACGGGCTCTTTTCACAGCTTGAGTGGAACAAGATGAGAAAAACAAACAACCTGCCCACGGGAATGTGAGTCTGATTCTGGCCGTGCTTTGAACTTCAATAGCACAGGGTGCTCTTCACAGCGGGCAGAAGGACACGACTGTGACACTCGTCATTTTTTATTCAGCTGTGCCCCTGTGAGTGTTCCTCTTTCAGGGCCGTTTCAGAGTGGTTGGAAGCCATCCGTCTCTCTCAGTACAAGGTCCTCCTGCCTCATCTCCATCCCTCTCCCTCTCTTAAAATACCATTTTTGCTTCCCTGCAGTGTCTGGCACCCAGCTCTGCAGTGGGGGAGCCCAGGCAGACATGGAGACATCGATGGCTCTGGAGCAGTGTGACACTGGGCTTCAGCTGCTCCCTGATAACCAGAAGTGGGAAAAGGGGGCTGCAGGTCTGGGATGACCTCCTGGGATGGGGGGGATGATGTCTAGAGGTTGTATGTCCAGCAGGAATCTCCCCACCACCCCAGGACAGTGCACATGAAGGATGGAGAGCTGGACCAGTGCCCAGGCTGTCAGTACCCATGGGAAACTGGTGCTTGGGGTGATGTGGGTCTTTCCACAGGTGCTGTGCCAGGACATGCAACCCTTCTGGTGTCTCATCTTTCTCGGGGGCCTCCTGCCTCCCTCTCAGGGCCTCCTCAACCTGCTGAACCCAGCACAACCCAGCGGTGGTGAGTTCAAATATTTTCTGTGTTTCCAGGAAGAGTCATGGCACAGCCCTGTGCCATTTTGGGCTCATGGCATGTCCTTATGCTCGTCAGGGAGCTGCCTCCTGGCAGACCCATCTCCATGGGAAACCCAACTTTGTTCAAGGATGCTCAGGGGTCCCTTGAGACCTCACCAGCAGAGCACCCTAATGTGGCCAACCAACCTTTCCTGTCAATGAAATCCTCCCAGGAGTGGAAGTCCAATCAGTAACTGGGACTCTCTTCGTGCAGGCCTGCTTGGCACTGGTCTCATCGGTGGAAAAAGTGGTTTGCTTGGCACAGGTGCTCTTGGTGAAGGTGGGCTGCTTGGCACTGGCCTCCTGGGCAAAGGAAGTCCAAGTGGAGCAGAAAGTGGAGGTGCAGGCAATGAACCCAGAGGAGCAGGGGTCCTTGGCACAGGGCTCCTAGGTGACTAAGCTTGGCACAGGGTGGGGTTGGGAGAGGAGGGTTTTTGGGTGGTGAAGGACAGGAGAGTAACAAAGTTCTGGCCGTTGCAGGAGGACAACCTGGCAGCAATGGGCTGCTTGGCACAGGCCTCCTTGGTGGAGAAGGACTTGGCACAGGGATCCTTGGTGGAGAAGGACTTGGCACAGGCCTCCTTGGTGGAGAAGGACTTGGAACTGGCCTCCTTGGTGGGGAAGGACTTGGCAATGGTCTCCTCAACAATGGTCTCCTCGGCAATGGCCTCCTTGGTAATAACAGCCTTCTTGGAGAGACAGGTCTGCTTGGCACAGGGCTGCTTGGAAAAGGTCTCCTAGGCAATGGAAGTCTGCTTGGACTCGATGGTCTTCTGGGTGGAGCAGGAGGACTGCTGGGTGCAGGAGGGCTGCTGGGTGGTGGAGCCTCCCAGAAGATGACACGCTCTGCCTGGTGAGTCAGAAGCCCCATGTGGGGCTCACTGCAGGGTGACCCACAACATCCAGGGGATCAGACACTGCCTCTCATACAAACCACCAGTCCTGGGCTCGCAGCTCACATGAGAATCTGCAGCAGGGGAAATTCCAACCAGAAACGGGAGAAATGTTAGCCATGGGAGTGGTGACACTGCCATGGAAATGGCTGAAACTCAGGAGGACATAGCCTCGAGAAACCTGGCCAAGCTTTAAGATTGGCTGTTTGCAGAGTGAGAGTTGATCCTTCCCCACCTTCACTTGTACCTGGGAATATCCACAGGTCAAACAATGAGCAGGAAGGGATGGGACTGTAGGATCTGCTCCTGCTGATCCTGCCATCTCAGGGTGGGTTTGCCCCGGTGTCAACCCCCAGGTTGAAGGTGCTGAACCTCGAGAACGCCCGAGTGTCATGGAAGGTTATTCGTGGGACTGAGCTTGTGCTGAACCTGTACTCGAAGCTGGTGCTCCGCTTTCCGGGGTGAGTGAGGCTGGGGAGCAAGGCCACAGGGACCTGAGGGCGCTGGGGAGGATGGGACACTCCTGAGTGCTGGACAAACATCCCCAAACACTGAGCAAGAGGCTGAGGAAAGCTGTGCTCCTGACTCTCTTTGGAACCATTTCCAGCTGTCCTCACTCCACAGACGCTCACTGTCCATAGAAGTGTTCAAAAAACAGATGGATATGGCTCTTGAGAACATGGTTTAGTGAATATGATGGTGGTGCTGGGTTAATAATTGGACTTCTGGATCTTAGAAGTCTTTTCCAACCTGAACAATTCTACGGGTCTGTGATCTGCCACAGGACAAGGAACCTGAGAGAAGTCCCAAAACTGCAGCACTGTCTCAGCCGGGGCTATGCTTGAGGCTCTGCCACAGGCACCGCTCTCCTGTGCTGCTTTGGTTTCCTCCATAATCTTCCACGCCACTTCCTTTTTTCCAGGATTTTTCAGTTTCTGAGTGGATCCTCAGTAGAAGCAAACATCACATCACACATTGCCGTGACCCAGGACACCCCTGGTGACCTCAAGCTGGTGCTTAAGGATTGCAACCACCTCCTTGGTGGCTTCAGCGTCAGCCTGCGGAAGGGGTGAGCGTGGGAGCCAGTTCCTGCAAGTTGGCGGTGGGACAGAACTTCAGTCTCAAATCTGTGCACGAATTGACAGCATAACAAGCAGATTTTGGGATTCAGATAGCGAAGTCCTGAGCATCTGTAATTCCTGCTGAAGCCTGGGGGAGCTCTGGGCTTGCAGCATCTCTTAACATCAGAGAAGAGGAGGGGGCTCCTCTACAGAGGAGCTCAGTTTTGAGCCGCACAGAGAAACTCAGTTTTTCTTGATGTCAAGTCCTGGGTTTTGACAACTTCCCTGGTAATTTTTGTCTGTCTTTTCCCTCCCCAGCCTCCTCACCAATCTGGTGAGCAGCTTGCTGAACAAGTCTCTTAAGTCCCTTGTCCCTGCGCTGGTGAGTGTCTGAATATTCTTTGCTGTGAAGCTGCATTTCAGCTGCAGTCAGGGCTCCTGCCAGAACTGCCTGGTAGATTTACACACACACAGAGTCACAGAACAGTTTGGACTGGAAAGGACCTCAAAGGTTAGTTCCGGTCCCCCTGCCCTTGGTAGGAACAATATATATTATGTATATTTACACATACACACAATATATATATTTGTGCATGCACAGATACATGCCGGTAGCCCATAAGTGAGTTACACAAAATTGCTTGATCTTCCTTCCAGTCAGAATTTATCTGTTAGGAGTAATTTCAATTTCATCATGCGATGTTACAGGGTAATTTATACCCAGCTGCTCCCTGTGGGGGTGAGCAGAAGCAACAGCCCTGTTTAAAAGTGGTCTTTTAGAGGATCTTTTACCTTGTTCAGTAGAACCTGTGTCATTTAGAGAAGGGGGCTGAACAAATCATGTAGCTCTTTTTCTGTGGAAGAAATATACTCTAGGATGAAATCAGGATGTTTGTCCCATCCTGATTTAAATCTGTGAATTTCGAGTGGGGAACACGCTGCTGCACCCACAGTGCTCTCACCAAGACTGTGCCACTTGTTACCATTGCAGTTCTGCCCATTAGTGAACGCCTGGGTCAGCATCATCAACATTAATCTGCAATTCCTCAACCGTAAGTCATTAAATTTTCTTTCCTAAATTAAGCTTTAGAATGACACTCTGGGTTTGTGTGTCTGGCTACCTCCACGGGCAGCAGGTGTCCTTGGGAGAGCTGGAGCTGTGGAAGCAGGAGCAGTTTTTCTCCACCGACTCCACAGGAGTCCTGGCTCATCACCACTCCCAGACATCACAGTCCCACTCTTCTTATGGGTGTTTTTCTAGACCCAAGCTGCTGCCAAGAGTTGGCTGTTCCAGGACCCCCAGGTGCAGCCCCACAGAGCCAGGGGGTTTCCCCTCCCCAGCTCTGCTCATGCCAAACCTCACACACAATTGCTGCTTCACTGAAAGTAGAACTGTCCCTTCCCATTTACCCTCGACATTTCCCTTGTGATGGGATCTGCACCTGGGAGCTCCAGGGCAGCAGCTTTCATGAGAACCTTTGAACCCCAGGGAATCTGGGATCTATAGGAAGGACAAGGAGTTATTCCTCCTTGCTGGGCAGGACAATGCTCTCCTAACCCCTGTTAGGGGTTCTGGGTGGGCACAGCAGTGACCTACAGGCAGCTCTTCCCAGCCCTGATGGCCTCTCCCTCTCCCCAGGCGTCATCTCCTTTGGGCTTCTGGGGAAAATCTACTCTGCCCTCTCCAAACTGCCAGTGACAGCCGGGCACTATGTGGAGCTGGATCTGCAGGTAGAGCCATGCCCATCCTGTTTTCAATCCCATGTCCCCACACTGCTGCCCCCCCTCCATTTTCACCTCCTTGTTCTTTGCAGAATTCCCCATTCCCAAGCACCTTCATCGACTGGCTCCTTCAGAGTAAGTCCAGCCCCAGTGCTGCCATGGGGATCCCCACCAGTGCCTGTGAGCCAGAATGGGGCAACTGCAATGGGGGACACAGACCTGGGTAGTGGCCAAGAGTGGGGAGGGTTCTCATGGCTCTGAGAGTTGTACCTCACAGGGCATGGCAGTGGGGTCCCTGGTCCCCACGGCTGGGGGTGATTGGAGTCCCTGGTCCTCAGAGGCGGCTCTCAGCTCAGATGTGAGCAGCTTTGCCCCTGTGCAGGTCTGGAATACAGTAGCAAGAGAAAGTCTGTGCACTGCTACTTGTGCCCTGCACAGCCCTGGAAAAGTCACTTCACCTCTTATAAAAGGATTTAATAATATTTGCTTAATAAGAGTGAATAATGGTCCTCAGGATGCTGCGAGGATTAATTAATATTTGCAGAGGTGATTGGAAGAGCTTTCAGCTTCATATGCATGGAAAGTTAATATATAGGGAAGGTAAGGAAGAGTTGGAAGTCTTCCCAGCTTCCCCAGAGCCGTATTCCTGAGGGCACTAAATCATCTCTGCCCATAAAGCTGGGGGCTCTCAGGCCAGTGGCAGATCAGGCACTGCCAAGCCTGGTGCTGTGGTGGGGGACACCAGGGGACTGTCAGGCTTTGGGGACTCGTAGCAGGCAGTGCGCTGACCTGGTGTCTCCCTCCAGCCACAGGTGTCGATCCCGGGATCAATCCGTAGCTGCAGCACTGGCAGCACCCTGGGGTAAGGAGGATTTGCTGGCTGGGACCTGGCTCAGAGCTCTGCTGCTGATTGTGCTCATGCCAGTACCTGGGCTGGGTGAGAAGAGTCCTGACCCTGCTGCCTGGTATGGGAGGTGACAGGGGTAGCACAGGGCTGCCTAAAATCTCAACTCTGGTATCCCTCCAGGTCCCCCTGCAGACGATTCTCAAGGAGGAGGAGGGAAGGGAGGAAAACGACTCAGTAGGTGGAGAATAGGCATTAAAATGGAGAAACCCAACCAAGAAAAGACTCTTTCTTCTGCTCTACCTTTCAGCCTTCTCAGATTTTGGTGTCTCTGACCAGCCTAGAGTTATCTGTGCCAATGATAATCCATGCCAATGGTGAACTATGTTGATAATTAGTCATATTGATAATTAGCTATGTCAATGATCAGCCATGTTGGTGACCCTGTGACTGTGGAGGCAGGAGGCCCAGGTCTTGCCTGTGTCCCTTCTGGCTGTCATGGCCACAAACCACTTGCTATGGCACTCAGTGATGAAGGGATGACCTTGATCCCCTGGTTTTTCCTCGAGCCCACCCCAGCTTCGCTTGGGTTGAGATTTAGGCCAGGTAATGGCTCAGCACAGAGGGAACATTCCAGGTGCTGGATGCAGTCAGGCAGGGGTTTGGTCCCCTCAGAAATTTAATGAGTTTGTACCAACTACACAAATCCTTCTGAGAAGGGAAGAAAGAAAAGGAACTAATTCAATGAGCTGTAAACACTTTGTCTTTGCTCTCCTTCTGCTTCTTGATTGGCTTACCATTTCAAAAGGGATTTTTGCTGTTTCCAGTTATTTCATACTGAAAAAGAGGCAAAAAAGCTCCCAGCCTAATCCAGGCACACACTCAGCCTATTTGTTCCCAAACAGCGATGCTTTGAACTGATCAGAGTGAACGCTATCCTGCCTTGTAATCTCCAAGTGGATTTGGATGTGCTGCATTGTGGGTGAGGTGGATTTGAGGCAAATTCACACCCTTCTGTTACTCCTTACAATAAAAATGATTTTTCTTCATCTGCATTCAGCACGTGACTTGGTTCTTTTCCAAACTGCCAAAGGATTTTTGCATTTGCAAGGATTTTGTTATTTATCTCTCCCATCAGCTACAGGAGTAACTCACATGTGAGGAATACTGAATAGGTGAGTCTGCTGAAAGGTGGGGATCCACAGGGGCTGCAGCCCCAGAATCAGGCCAGAGTTGAGCCCAAACCCTGCCCAGGCTGCCAGACCCCCACTCTCACAGCTTAAAGTAGCTACAGAAACGTGGCCAATGTGGCAAATAAATATTCCCCTCATTTGTATTTATGCAGATTTATTCTGCCCCTGTTCCTGAGCTGCAGGTTCTTTTAGTGTGTATTCCTGCTCCTGCCTGTTGCCAGTGAGCTGGGAGCTGTTTGACATGAACAAACACATCCCTGGGGCCCCAGGGAGACAGCTGCCCCCCAGGCTGGGGCTGGGATCCCCAGGACCCCGGGGAGAGCAGTGACAGTAGCCAGCAAACTGTTGGGCACAGTAGCTCACTCCTGGCTGCACTGGCATCAAACCTCATCCCAGGGCTGGCTGTGCCATAGCCTCAGGACAGAGAGGCTGCATGGTGAGAGATGCCCAAGCCCTGCAGCCTCCAGATCCACTGGCACAGCACCGTGTGCCACCAACCATTTCCAAGTGTCCACATTGGCTCTGCTGGGCATTCCTGGTGGGCAGCACCTACGCCCTTCTCCGCCTCTGCCCGGCGTGGGTCCCTCTGGTCCTGCCCAGGGCCCCAGAGCCCCATCCAACAGGCACAGGGGAGTCCTGGTGCTGTTAGCTGAGAGTTCACAGCCAGCATCCTCCTGGTACCACACTGCCAGGGCCAGGGCTCCTGGCCACATCTTCTGAGTGGCTAAATATTCCCTGAAAACTTGGAGGTTCTCACTGCTCTTTTCCCAAGGTAATGGTGTGGCTGATGTGTCACCAGTGCCATAGGACCACAGCCCAGCTTCTCCTGCTGTTCCTTCACTCTCTTTTACCTCACCCCGAGCAGCCAATGCCACTCCTGCCCTGCCAATTAATGGCAGAGGTACCAGTGCTAATGAGGTGGGCATTGGGCACCCCTAGGCTGCACCCAGAGCACCTCGCTCTGCCTGCAGTAACACCCACACACTGGGGGTCTGGGAATGGATCTCGGTGCTGATAATCTGTGTGTGCTCAGTGCACAAAGATGAAAGGCAGATGCCAGCTACCTTTAATGACAGTGCCAGAGCTCTGTCATAGGAGGAGGACAGGATGGGTGGCAGTGCCTTGGCCCAAGCTATTGAATCCGTAATGCTTCATTGGGCACCTTCAGTTTCCAGTTCCTAAGGACAAAAGGAGGAGGAAGAAGGAACCGTGACAAGCCCCATTCTAGGCTCACTTGCTGTGAATGATTGCAAAAAGAGGTGTAAATATTCCCTCGGTAACCCTAGAGCCAAAATGCCAAACTCAAAATAACCCACAGAGAAGGGACCACCTTGTTTAGTCTCAAAACCCCATAATCAGCCTGATCAAAAGTGAATTTCATTTCTGTTCCACTCACTATCCTCATGGATGCAGGAAGGGGAGGAGGACAATCCTTTCTGGCTGTTCATTTTCACAGCAGTGTGCTGAATATTAATCACTCTCAAACTCTCTACTGGAGGTGGTGCTGCAAATTGCCCCTCCTGGAGCCACTCTGTAATTCCTACATGGGAGCAACAGCCAGGGCAGGTGAGAGATCCCGTGGTGACCTGGCTCTGTAAGTGGCAAACACAGCCCCAGCAGTGTCCCTGAACACCCTGACAGTTCTGTTAGATATGCCACTGTGCATCAGGCTCTTGTCATCCCTGGGATTGCCCTCCAGGAATTAGACACCTTTCTCCTCCTCCTTAATGCAAGAAGTAAATGTAGGGCAGTGAGGTTGAGATTTGGGTGTTTTCAACACTGAGGGACTTTGTTTTTGACACCATTGAAGATATAATGAGAAAGCCCTGTCTTGTCCTTGTGCTGGCAGCCCTGCCTGTCCCCAGGTTTCCAGCTCAACGTTCCTGGTGGCAGTGGCAGCTGCCCTAGAATGGCTGCTGGGGAAGGTGGCTCGGACCCAGCAGGAACAGGGACCCTGGGCAGGGGCCCCCTTGAAATAATGTGAAATAATTCCTTTTCATATTTCCTAGTGGAACTTCTGCTGAAGGGGAAGAGCCCCTGCCAGGCACACAAATCACAGAAAGTAGTCCTCTGTTTTTCACAGATACAGCTGTCCAAAGGAATTGCAGCACCTTCGCCTCACGGGAGGCATTTTAATTACTCTATTGACTGGTGCTTCTGAGAGCCACAGGCATGTCAGAGATCAGAAGGATGCAGAGAGACAGGGAGGGAATGCATGACCACCCCTGACAGCCCCAGTGCAGCCCCACTGCTGCCCCATCAGTCCCAGTGCCCTGCCCCACACACCAAGTGGTGCTGGGCCATTCCATGCTGTCTCTAACCAGCATCAGACCATCATCATGTCTCTGATCTCTGTCTGACTGTTAAATAACTCAGCAGCAGTGGAAAAAAATATTTGAAAAAATATCTGGAAGATATAGAGCCATTAATGAAAAACATCAGAAAATAGATATCAAGTAATGACACCGTGATGAGAGGTTATTAATAGGAAAGGCTAAAGATAAAACTAATTTAAACCTGATGAGACAAGACATCTCATCTTCAGGAGAATGAGAAGTCAATAGTTGTCTGTCAGTAAAGGAAATAAATTGCTCACAAGGGAGGAGGGAAAGCTTCAGGACTGCTGGGCCCCAGAGAGTAGCAGTGCCTGTGACAGACTGTGAGATACCCTCTGCATTCACAAACCCCAGAACTCGGAGCTGCCACTCACCAGTACCTCCGTCATTGCCATGCAGGTCACAGCCCAGCAGGGCTCCGGGAAGGCGCATGGACATGGAGGGACGCTGGGGACAGACAATGCCAGCCTGGGGGGGCTGCAGAACAGCTTGGGGCTGGTCTGGGGGTGCACCAAGCAATGGAAATGGAGAGTTCATTGCATTTCCAGCACAGCACAGAGTTCACCATCGGCTGCAGAGGAGCCTGTAGGAGCAGCTGTACCTGTTCTGCCAAAACCCAACCACTGCCATTTTCAGAAAGGAGTGAACTGAAGATAGAACTGGTTTTAGAAGTGGAAAACAGTTTTGAAAGTTCTTTATGTTGCATTAAATCCCAGAGCTCTGTGCAAAGAGCTGGCTTCAGAAATAGTGATGAAAAGCTGC